AGTGGAATGGCTAAGATCCATCCTTGTGCCCCCAAGTTAACAAAAACCTGCTCTGTGATGGCTTAGCTTAATCCTACTAGTCTCTGCAGGTTCTCCCAGATCACCCATCTTTGTCACTTATCCACCCAGCTGTAGCAGCTTTGGTCTTCAAATTCCCAGGTGATGTTGATGCTGCTGGTCCGGGCACCACACTTGGAGAACCACTAGTCTAGGGTAGTTGGGTGCAGGGACTCTGGCTAAGCTGCTGAGTTCCCAACTCTGCTACCTTCTAGCTGTGCCACTCTGGGCCACAGTTGCCTCATCTGTAAAATCAGGATAATAATAGTCTCTACCTTGCAGTTAACCCTGGAGAGGTTCGAATGTGTTAACACATGCAAACTATGCACCTGGTGTATAGCATGTGCTCAATAAAACTTGCTGCTATTAGCATAGTTAAAAAAAAAAAAGCACCATTTCCAGGTTTCACTTCAGGCTTTCACACTGGCCGTGTAACTTTAAGGACATCCTTTCACCTCATTTTTCCCATCTTACTAAGAGGGTAATAATGGTAACCCACTTTGCATTCCACATAGAGTGTTCTAAGGATCACATGGGACCTGTGTGAGTACACTTTGTAAATAATAAGCACTGAACAAACACTTGCAGCTAGGCGTTGTGGGAAGAAGAACATGAAGTCAGAGAGACCTGGCCCGAAGTATCAGGTTAAGTAGGCAAGTCTCTGCTTCTTTGAGGCTCAGTTTTTCCATCTCTCAAATGAGAGGAATAATAGTGAGGGCCTCGGAGGAGCTGGGAAATGTCCTGAGACCACCTCGCCTGAGGTCTGTCCCTTTCTGTCACCTTCGGTTAGTCCCAGGGTCTAAGGATTTCATTCCAGGGTCAGTGCAGAAGCCTGGGACTTGCCCTGTCCCCTCCCACAGATCTGCCACAGAGAGCAGCCTAATTTGAGACCCCTCCAGCTGGAAGCCTAGGCTGACTCCTAGGCCAGCCGCCTCTCATAGACCCCAGAGCCCGCAGCTCACAGGGTCATGAGGAGGATGAAATGAGAGAAAGAGTGGGGTGTCCTGCCCAGGTTCCCACACCAGGCAGGCCCTCAGTAAACACGGCTCTTCTGGCAGAGGTCCTTTCAGCCCCTCCCAGGCTGCCTCCAAATATCTTGCCTCTGAGAGTCATCAACTCTGAAAGTGAATTCCTTGCAGCTGAGAGGTTTCACAGCAACTTTATTCTCCAGGAGAGAGTTGGAACAGCCCTTACCTTCTCCAGCAGGGGAAGGAGCAGTCAGAAGCCTGTTTAATTTAATTTAACGCACCGTGGCTTGCCAGGTTGCCCCTGGTAACAGCTTCAGCTGCTGCTTCAGTTACAACCAGAGGGATTTTAAAGAGACAGCCTATTTTAGGGACAAAATTGCGCAGCAGAGTGAACAGCCTCCACCAGTTTCATCACAGGGATAAAGGATTCAACCTCAGGCACAGGTCCATTTATACAATTAATGTCGTTCTGTAGCTGCAACCCTTTAAGCCCTCCTGCAAATGTAACTCTTAAGTGGGAATCTGAGGAGGGACTATGTTTGGGATTTTCCATACAGTTGTCAATCAGCTAGCTGCTTTTCCGAAAATCAGTTTTCATCTTCAAATTGAAGGGGAAGGACGAGAATAAACTCTCAGGAGTTGCCCCTGCAATTCAGGTAAACTGCCACCAGGTGGTAGTATTGCTTGCTTAGTATAAACCATAACCAGGCTCTTGAATTAAGCATGTCAGAGTGGTGGTGAACCAAGGTGTTTTAAGCCCTGGCACTTACTAACTACTGTGTGACGGTTGGTACGTTGCTTCACCTCTGTGGTCTTAGTGTCCTCAGAGATATAATAAGGAGATTGATCAAGATAACTGAGTGTTGTGGACGAGGCTTGGCGCTAGGACTATGATGGCATGAGTTTAAGTCCCAGCTCTGTCATCTACTAACTCTGTGGTTTGGGCATGGGATTTAATTTCTTGCAGCCTGAGTACCAAATAAGAAAGTGGCTACGAACCAGGGAAAGCCCTGAGGACACCACATTACTCTCCAACACTGGGGACCTGTGAAGGACAGAAAGGTGCCTGGGACCCTAGGAGATCTTAGGCCCTATGAGCACAGCAAGGGGTGGAGAGCGGGGTGAGGCAGGGTGCCCCTGGACTCCAGGGCCTGAGACCCCATTGCCCCATAAGGAACTGAAATAAGTCATAGTGGACAGAGCAGCCTTCTAGACACCCCTAACTCCATTCAGCTTTATCGTAAACCAGGGAAGAGGGAGCAAACATTAACGGAGCAAGCACTCCAGGCTGAGCACTGCTTCACCGTGCCTCTGAGGCCTGTATTATTACCCCCCTTGCTTTGCAGATAAGGACACAGCCCCGAGGGGTCACTTGTCCGCCCAGGGCCAGCCCCCTGAGCCTCTGCTCTTCGCATTACAGCCCCCGCGTCCTCTACACCTGCTCTTGCTTATGGCTGCACTTTCTTGTCCGGAGCCTGAGAGGCTCTCTCTCTCCCTACCATGACTCAGTTTGGCCAACCTCCAAGTGGGCACAGGGTCAGAGGTCATGAGATCACACCTACAAGCAGCCAGAGAGCCTGAGGCACACATGCCTTCAATCTTTCCATGGTCAGGCTTGACATTGTGTTCAGGCCTTCAGCCAGCTTGGCCCACAGTAGTTGGCCCATGAGTCACGCTCCGTTCCCACGTCCCAGGTCCTGTGTAGGTGCAACTGGTAAGGTTATCCAGCACCCTATCCCAGCCTTCTGCTTTGGCCAGTGTTCCCCACTGAGATTTCAAGGATGTCCTTTAGCCCCTGTGACCTGCCGCTCTCCCCTCTGGGCAGCCCTGTTCCCAGATAAAGCCCCCTACACATATTCTACCCTAAGTGACAAGATTACTCTCCAAGGTGATGTGAATGTGAAAACACATTGGATCTTGGCATTCCCCAGTTCCAACGCCTTCTATGGCTCCCTGCTGCCCTGCGGATGAGCTCCAGATCCTAAGCCTGGCACTCAGGGACCCCTCCTAGTGCAGCCCTGCCGTCTCGTCCCCCCCACACCTTACAGCTAGACTTCCAGCCACGTGGGGCTGCATGCAGATATCAACACACTCGTCTCTGAGCTTTTGCCTGTGATGTTCCTGCTGTCTGGAATGCCTTCTCTTCCCTTATCCACCTGGGTGCTTCCTACTTGTCCTTGAGAGCCCTATTCCAGCGCGTTCTCCCCTGGAATCCTTGGGTGTACCCCCTGGAACCTCCCATGCCCCTGGTGTTTCTTTATTCTATGTCTTTGGTTCTGACTTTCCTGCCAGACTGGGAGCTCCTAAAGGCAGAATCTGCCTTTCCTCTCCTGTCTCCATTGCCCAGCCGGGGTCACACAGGAAGGTACTTGGGGAATAGTGGCTGAGACATGCAGTTAGTGGGGCCTCCTCTTGGTGGTCTGGCTTGGGCCCGGGTTCACTCAGTAGGATCTGACGGATAGGCCCCCTTCCTTCTTCCTCGCTCCGAGCTCATCCATGGCCTCCCCAGTGCAGCTGCAACAGCAGCTTTAGCTCCCCCCACCTCGTTTACATAGACCGTGCTCCATGCTCCCCAGGCTGCCCACATATCTCCATGCCGAGCCCTCCATCTAGAATGCCCTTGTCCCTCATCCACCCTCTGAAATACCACTGCTATTCAAGACCCATCTTACAGCCCATCCTCTGTAAGACCTTCTCAGAGTCTTCGGGCTAAGATGGCCTTTCCACCCTGCTGCATTTGTCTGCATCCCTGTCAGGGCCTTGATCAAACTTTGCCTCATATAACACTGTAGTTATCGGAAACCTGGTGTGGTGAGGGCAGCGTGGGCTTGGGAGCCTAACAAAGGGGGTTCGAATCCAAGCTCTGACACGTGCTCACTGTGTGACCTTGGGCAAGTCACTTCACCTCTCTGAGCCTCAATATGTTCCTCTGTAAAATGGGGATGACACCTACCTCATAGGTTGTTGTGAGACTGAGATGATGGGTGTCAGGACCCTGGCACAAGGCACACATTCATTCACGCTCTATTATTTATGCCTGGGTCTGTTGCCCCAGCCAGGCTGTGAGCCCATTTGGACCAGAGCGCAGGTCCCATTCATTCCCACATCCCCACAGCACCCAACACAGGGCCTCACACCATAAAAGCCCAGAAATGTTGGTGGGACTGAATGCATTCACCCCAGCTGCTGAGGGTAGGGGTGGAGGTTATGATGGGGGTCCTGAGCTGAAGAGGCTGTGGGGTGGGGGGAGAGTGAGTACAGAATTCCGCCTGGAGATCATAGACAGGAGATGAATGCAGAGGGAGGGGCTGGAGCCTGAAGCAGAGCTGCTGATATGCACTGGGGGTTTTATTGGTTTTCATTAAAATTCCTTCCTGAGGCAGGAGCAGCTACTCCCATAAATAACGGCATAAATATTTTATCTGGTGCCCAAGTCGGTCTAAATGCACAGCAAGGTTGGCAAGAATAACAATGGGAAACAGTTCAGGGGGGTCCTGGGCTTCAGCTGAACTCACTCAGCATTCCCAAAGGGGCTTTCTCAGGAAGGTGGGAGCTGACGGATGGCGCCAAAGGGCAGAAGCCAGTGGACACTGGGGGAGAGAAGGTGACCAGTGGCGAGTGGGCCCCAGGGTGGGGGGATGCAAAGCACAGGTATGGAGCAAGGGTTGGGGAGCTTAGCTTGGAGAGCAAGACGGGAGGGGAGGGAATGTATCCCATACCCACACTGTGATGGTCTCCTCACCTGGGGCAGTCACACAGGTTACCTCGTCAAATCCTCTGTGGTCAGGGAAGTGAAGTAACTTGCCCAAGGTCACCTAGCCAGTCAGTGGCAGAGCCAGGACAATACCAAAGGTGTTTAAGGCCAAAGCCCTTGTACTGATTGCTTCTCCGCGTTCACAGAAAGCTTGGGAATCTATGAACAATAGCCTGAGCACCTCAATAACATTGGGCACGGGCCATTCTCTGCTTTCCTAGATCCCGATGGAGGAGAAAAGGGGCTGGTACTTCACCATGGCAACGCTCTTCATCAGGTTAGGCTGGGTAGTGGGGGCACAAAATGGCAGGGGGGAGAGGTGTGGCCTGGAACCCAGGGGACAGGTGGCTGAGCCCATCTCCATGGCCATTAGCCAGGGGAGGGGAGGACTTACAGCACGCTGGGGACAGCTGGGAGGTGGTCCCAACCAGCAGCATCCTTTTCTTGGCCACAGGCTAGATGGCATCTTCCTGGAACTGGACAGTGAGGAGCAGAAGAGGCTGCCCGCCTTCAACCGCACACTGGCCCTGCTCCGGCAAGTCCTCAAGTCCTCGGACCCCCACCGCCGAGGTAGGGCCCTCAAGGACAGCTGGGAAAGCAGCCTCTGCCTGGCTCTCCCTGCACCCGTCTCTGGCATTGTCCCCACCCCTAGCACTGCCTCCCTTCGGGGAACCCTGTTTCTCTCTCCCTCACCCTCTGTCCCATATACTCACCTACACATCTCAAGAAGCTCACACACCTTACACAATCACAAATCACGCAGGTGTGCGCCTCACGACCTAGAGTGTGAGAGACTGACTCTCCCCTATCTCCGCCTCTCATCCCCACTTTCTGGTTGGGAACGAAGGCTCTTCTGGAGAGGAGTCAAGTCATTTTCTTCACAGGGCCACACAGCTAGGACAGGGGCTAGAATTTCAGAGCCGGGGAAGAGTTGGAGTCAGAGGAGCTGTCACCTTCAGGGAGGTCCCCTAGGTGACCCAGTAAGCACAGATTAAGCACTGCGGTGTGTTCATCCATTCACGCATGTGTCCCCTCTCGCCACCTTTGTTTCTCTCATTCGGTCCCTCGGTGGCCTTCCGTGATTTCTTGCCACTCACCCTCCCTCTGTCTTCTTGGGGGCCGACACCTTGGTGGAGCTGCCCCCCACTCCTCGTGGCCCCCCTCCCTGTCTCCTCCCTGCTGCCTCCTAGAGACCACTCTCCTACTCTTCACCCCAGCTCTGGCCTGGTGCTACCTCGGGATACTGCTAGAGAGGAAGGACACCTTCTCCACCACCCCCATGGGCGTCCATGACTGCGGGTACTCGGGGACTGACCCCCTGGACTGCTTTGGCAAGGTACGTGCCCCCCCAGCCGCACCTACTCTCCAAACTGGGACAGAGCCTGACACCCCAGCCTCCTCAACCTGAAACCTGCTGCGTCTCTGGGTGTCAACCCACTTCTAACCCCCACCGTGTACCCATCCAGGATGTGCCCTCACTCCAGACCTTTCCATCCCAAACAAAAGTGCGCCTTGTCATCGGTCCTCTTTGCCTAAGAATCAGACCCTCCCCATGCCCAGTCTGAATCCCGCCTGTCTCCAGCCTTGTCTTCCAAGCGAGTCACCATTTCCCAGATACAGCCTGTCCTCTGTCTTTTCCCCTTCAGGCCATGATTCATATTGTACCTCCCCAACCCCAGTGGCTTAGTGGCTAGAGGATGGGTTTAGCTGGAGTCTCACCCCTCTGCCCACAGGCCATGTGACCCTAAGGCAAATGGCTTCCATCTCCAAGCCTCCTTATCTGTTAATTATGTGATCTGCCTACCTAGGTAAGTGAGAGACGCAAAGGAGGTAGTGGGCAAAACTGTTCACTATGAACTGGGAAGTACTGGTCAAGCCTTATTCTTGGCACCTTGTTTATATGGCAGTTTCCACACTCAGCTCAGTTTTGAAGTCCTTCCTGGAGGCCGGAGACCCTGTAATATTCATTCACCTGTGCATTCAGCACAGTGCCCTGAATTTGGCACGTCCCTTATGTTTGCTGGTGGGTGAAGAGCAGTGTCTTGATGAGAGATCTTAGAACAGAGCAGAGCATAAACACCCGTTCATGAGTCTTCCAAGAGTTGTGTCCAGTTTAAGAAACACACTGCCTTTGCCCTCCTTGAGAACCTACTCTGGGCCGGGGCAGGGCCCACCATTTCAGAGGTAGCAACAAACACAGGACAGGCATCCCTCCGTAACAATACAGGGGGTAAGTGCTTGGCCCAGGTAGAAACACTGCACTGTGTAAGTATGGGGAGGTAGAGGCTGATTCAGGCCCCTCCTCCTGCCTGCCCCAGGAAAATGGGGGAGCATGCACTATATGTATCTGAGGATGAGGGGTTTGCCTGGGGTCTGGAGAGATTCACTGGACATGACCCACGAACATGGAGGAGAGCATGGCAGTGAGTTGAGCCCTCAAGAATTAAGTGCCAATGAGTTGTACCCCAAAGTGTTGGGCTCCATGATAAGACTGAGCTTACTGGCAGGTGGATATGGGGAAAGGGTATTGTGGTAACATGGCTCTATCCAGAGATGGGATTCCGAAAGGTCAGGCACCATTTAGCCAGTTCTGGCAAACAACCAGACAGATGATTTGCTCCTACCCGTCCTTTCTTATTCAGGCCATCGAGATTGCCAAGAACCAACCCCCCATCCTGAATCGCCTGGCCAAAATCTTCCACTTCCTAGGAAAGCAGGATATGGCCATTGGCACATGCAACATGGCCCTGGACGTCCTACGAGATCCAGAGCTCAACTGGCAGGCGTATTGCACAAGGGCCAAGGTGAGTCAGCCTTGAACTCCACCTCCTTCTGACATCGGGAACCAGAGAAAAAGGGCCAGGGGCCAAGACCCTGTTGCCAGAGCCCAAAGATAATGGAGTCTTCATGGCAGAAAGGAGCTTAGGAATCATCGAGGCACAGTTTGTGTTCTGTACGAGCGTTGAGTGAAAGGATGAAGGAGGCTCCCGCCCACTGCAGGCATCCCTTCTACATGACCTGGTCAGTGACCTGCAGCCTCTTAGTGACTAGTACCCAGTGTAGTCAGACTGACCTGGGTTGAAATCTGACCTCTCCACTTATCACTCCAGGACTGGGGCAAACCACTTCCCCCTCCAAACCTCCCTTCCTAAATCTGAAAGATAGAGACAATAACATCTGTCTTAAAAGGTTGACAGAAGACTAAGTGAATTAATATCTAATGCACCTCCCTCTGCCCCCTCCTCGCTCCGCTCCCTCTCTTCAAGCCACACTGGCCTCCTTGCTGTTCCTGAGGCAAGAGCTTCCGTCAGGACCTCTGCCTGGAATGCTCTTCTCCCAGATGTCCGATTGGCTTCCTCCCTCCCTTCCTGGAGGTCGTGATGAAAAGGCAGCTTCTGGCACCATCTTACTGAAAATGTCGCCCCTCACCAACATTCTGTCCTCCTTTTTTTTGCTTTGCTTTTACTTCTTAGCACTTATCACTTTCTAACATTCTGTTGGCTTATTTATTATGTTTATTGTCTCTCCCCACCACTAAAAATATAATCTCCACAAGGGCAGGGAACTTTGTTGTTTTTCTCTCTAGTGTACCCTCAGTGCCTGGAACAGTGCCTGGCACATAGCAGGCGCTTGATGAATGTTTGTTGAATGAATGAGTGAATGAATGAATGAACTGAACACCTACCATATGCTAGGTCCTAGCTATGTTCTCTCGATTGTCACGGTAACACCCCAAGGAGGATACTAGTGTACTGATTTTTCAGATGTGGAAAATGAGACTCACAGAGGTTGAGCAACTTCCCCCAGCTCACATGCTAATAAGTGGAGAGGTGCTGGAATTAAGCCAAATACAACAGGCACTAAAGCCAGAGTTGCCACTCCCAACCCCTCACCTCATGATACCCTCTTAGTGTGGAGAAAAAGGGAGGAAGTGAGGATGAAAGCAAGGATCTGGAATCATGTGTAATTTGATGCGGTGAGTTGGGGCCACCTGCCGTTCTCCCCAAACTGCTCACTTACATGAACTCTCACCAAATTGGTACTGCATCCTCCCTAAAATAAGCCCCCTCCCCTAGTCACTTCGATCCCATCACCCTGCTTACTTTTTCATAGCGCTTATCACCACTCCAAATGGTACTGTTAGCTTGTTGCTCATGATTATTTCCCTACTAGAATGTTAAGTTCTACCAGGGCAGGGACCTCTTCTTTCTTATCACCATTTGCACCCCCAGTACCTAGTACAAGGCCCGGCATATGGTAGGCACTCAGTACATATTTACTGAATGAATGGGTGAATGAATGAAGGGCTCCTACTTCATCCAACCTCCTATTATACAGACAGGGAAACTAGGACCCAGAAAGGGGAGTAGCTAACCCAAGTTGGCAGAGGACTAGGATGCGGGACTCCTGGATCCCAGTCTCAGAATTTCCTGCTGCACCACAGAACCTCCCTGAGTTGCTGTTGAGAAAAAGACTGGCTTCATTTAGGGTAGAGAGGAAGGCAGGGTTTCATGCTTGGAGCATCTTCCCTGAGCTGACTCTCTGTGGGCAGATCCACATCAGAGCCTACCTGCACGACCTGGAGCGGGTCAAGATAGGGCTCGGAGGCATGCCTGACAGGAACCACCTGGCCTGCGCCAAGGCCGACCTCGAGGAAGTGGTCAAGGTGTGCCCAGGCCTCAAGACCTACCTGGACATGGGGCAGGTAAGGCAGCCTCTTGGCTTGGGTAGCCAGTGTCTTGTTAAGAACCTATTTACTCTCTGCCAGGCCAGGCCTGGAAACTGAGGACACAGGGAGGTGTATGGGGGGCATCACCCTGCCTGATAATGGTACCCACCACCTACTGCCATGGTGAGAATTAAATGAGATCATGCACATACAGCGTTTAGAACAGGGCCAAGCTCTTTCTAAACACTCAGAAAGTGTGGGCCATTATTCTTCACCCAGAAGTGCCTTCTGTGCACAGGGAATGATTACCAAGAGGTGACAATATCATAACATATATGAGAAAACTGAGGCCCAGAAATTGCCCCACTCAGGGTTATGCGGTCAAGAGTGATGGGGCTGGAACTGGAAGCGGAGTACTGTCTCTCCTTTTCCAGGGGAGCGGGACCAAAATTTGCGGTGAATAATTGTTGAAGGAGGAAGGGTGGGAATGAATGAACTGAATTTTTTAAAAAGCAAGTGTAGGAACGGATTGAGCAGGAAGCAGCCATGGCAACGGAAAGGGGGCTGGGGGGAGAAGGAGCGGGGAGAAAGTCTCATCTCAGCACCCCACCCCAGGTCTACTACTATATGGGCGTGGACGCGGTGCAGGAGCTGCTGGCGGTGGACGAGTCCGCGCTGAACGAGGCGCTGGTCTTCCTGGCCAAGGCCAGTGAGTCGGAGCTGGGTGCCATGCTGCCCGAGCTGCAGCTGCTGCGAGGCAAGTGCCTGCGCATCAAGGGCGAGGAGGCCAACGCAGCCGCCTGCTTCAAGCGCGCCGTGGAGCTGGACGACGCGGGCTCCAGCCACACCGAGGGCTTCGGCTGCCTGCTTGAGGCGCTGCTGGCGCAGTGGAGCCAGGGGCAGCTGAGCGATGGCGAGCTGGGCCGCGAGGTGGATGCGTGGCTGCGCTGCGCCCAGGGCAAGTACCCGGCGGCGCGCCTGCACCAGGAGCTGCAGCGCGTATGGCGCGGCCACACGGACGAGGTGCTGGGGCTGGCTCGGGCCTTGGTGGCCCAGGGACGCCTGGCGCTAGTACGGCTGCTCTTCGAAACCATGGAACGCGACAGCGAGGGCACCAGCGCCCGGCGGAGTGAGGCACATTCTCCTTCTGAGGGAGATCAAGGCCCCGCCCACAGCTGATTGGACCAGGTTTGGGCACTGGAAATGGCACACCCTGCTATAGGCTGGCAGGTGAGTGGAACCAATCAGATTCTCTTTCAGGAATTTGAATGGGGACATTGAGACAGTAGGGCAGTTTGATGTACCCGCGGCGACAGAAGGACCATAATTCAGGAGAGCAAGACTGGGGCCAGATGCCAGAGACCAGCGGGAAACTGCCAACTGAAGGATAAAATTGTGCAGAGAAAATAAGATGGCTGTGAGTCTCCTAACGGATACAGAAGATAACTGTGACCATTTTGGCAGTTTTCTAGTTCTCAGTGCAATCTCTAAGGTCTGACTGCCTGTCTTTGGATTCCTGTGAGCCACTTCCTATCCTTATAAGTAAACCCCCCTTTATTTAAATTGACTGGAGTGGTTCTCAGGTGCTGCAGCCAGAAAAGCCTTGGCTAGATCAGAAGGCAAAGCTGCGCGGTGAGTGGGTGAGGAACGGGGCAGTAGTCTACACCTGTGTGCTGAGAGCCCTGTCCTACCTGGCGAGCAGTCTTCCAGCAGGCCTCATCCTTGTTCAGCGTGGTTTGCAAGGCCCCTAGACAACCTGGAATAAAGTGCATCAACAGTACCTTTGACTGACTTCCCTGTTCTGGAAACCCAGGGGCCCCACCCATCAGGAAATGCCACCCGTGCCCAATCTTGAACCTTCTACAAGAGAATGAAGAAACTGTTGGAATTTTGCACTTTTGGAATCATAGTCAGAATCTTAGGTATGGAATTTTGTTGTCAAAGACTTACACTTTGCCACCAAATCTTAGAATGGCCAACCTCGTTTCTTGTGGCCCTACCTACAAGAGCTAACTTAACCTAACATTCCAGATTAAGCTCTTGCCAGACTCCAGAAAAGCTAGTTGTACATAACTGCAATGGCAAGACCCCCATAATGGTTTGTGAATTATTTTGCATTTTCCCCTTTCTCTGAAAAGTTATACTCACGGCTTTGCTCATCCCCGATCCTCAGATGTTAGCCAGGGATAGGCCAGCACCCCTGCATTGCTTCTCATGTCTCCACTGACAGATGGAGAACAGATTGAGAAGTGTCGTCCTTAGAGATCACACACTCCAACCCTCTCGCTGTGCAGATGGGAAGACAGAGCCCTTGAAGGAAAGTGGCTTGCCCAGGGTCACACTTCCTAGCCTCCCCTCCCTTGTTCCTCAAACTTTTGACATTTTTTCAGGTTTGGAAAAATACCAATAAACTGATTAACACTGAAGCGCTAAGTGTTTGTGTCACTTGTCACCTGGGGCACTGCTATCCACTGGGATAATGCTCTAACTCTAATGGTGGCATTCCAGGTACCTATGAAATCTGGGGAGTGAGACCACCCTGAGGCTCCCGAACCCCATTTCATGGCTCATTATGGCTCACCACTTTGGACGGTGACATTCTCCCCCTCCCCGCTTCCTCTCGCCCCCATTGCACCAGAGTCAGGAGGTGACTGACAGCAGGCAGCACACACAGCCCTGTCCACTTCTCCCCCATCCTTTCTCTACCCACAGCTGTGACCTGTGACTTTTTCTAGGACAGGACACCAACTCTTTCTTCTCCTGCTTCTCTAAACAAACTATAAATTCACAGCAGTTTGCTGGCAAAATTGGGAAGTTGGTGAAGTTTGTCTGCTCCCCCAGACTTGCCAGTTTGTTTCCTTCCTTGCTTTTCCTGTTTCCAAGCTCATGCATTGCTCCCTGCATTGCTTCCTCCTCCTGTCAAACCTTTTCAATAAACTTTCTTTCTGATACTCTCATTCACACTAATCATATAAATAACTAACAAACACTGACTGTATTATCTCTTGGAGTATCTGCATATTGACCAAAAGCCAAACAGAAGTAGGAAACCCCATTTCTAGAACTTCCTCCTATGTGCTAGGTACTTCATATGTGTCATTCTTTCAACAGCCCTGGGGAGTAGCATTATAATCCTCACTTTACATATGAAGACTTTGAGATGCTGACCAAGGTCATGGATAAGTATGGGAAGAGCCATGATTTGGACCAGACCTGCCTGATTCTGTGCTGCCTTCTGGAAAACAGTCCTTCCTGGGAGATGCCTGTCTCTTCCCAAACTGCCTTTCTTCTGTGCCTTTGTACATTTTATTCCTCTACTGGCTTTTTCCCTAAGATTTCTCTCCCAGGTGCTCTGTTCAAAGATGCCTCCTCCAGGAAGTCTTACCAAATTCTCCTAGTTCTCATTAATCACTCCTTTTTACAAATGGAGAGCTCTCAGCGTGTTGTGTCCCATTGCGTTGCATTTATTACTTCTCCTTTAATCATGTCTGTTGCCCACCCCCACCCCAACTCTGGGTTCTTTACAGCAGGAACCTCAACTAATTCAGCTCCAAGGCTCTGCACTGAGCTTGGCACACAAGACAGGCTCAGTTTGGATTGTTGAACTGAGTGAACTGGCTACCTTAGTCCCAAACAGGTGACTCCATCCCAGTTCACAGGGCTGAGGTTGGGGCCAGGTCTGCAGCCTAAGGACCCTGAGGTCTAAAGCTCAACCAGAAAGCATGGACTTTCGTTTCTTCTCTAGCCTTAGGCCAGTTCTCCAATTCTGCAATTGGGAAACTGAGACCCAAAATGGGAAGCTGAGACAGCGCAGAGATTTGACCAAGGTTAAGCAATGACTCAATGACAGATGCAAACTCGAACCCCACCTCCAGATCTGTGGGCCAGTGTCTCTGCTCTTTCAGGGCTGCCTCCTTTGTCAAATTTACTTCTGTCAAGTCCAGGAAGACTACAGGCCTTACTGAGCACTGGTTGAGTGCCAAGCATAGTGCCAAGCTCGGGGGCTCCAGTGGAGAACAAAATAGACCTGCCCTTGCCTTCAGGGAGCCCACAGGCCAGATCCTACAGAGCAGGTTATGCAGGGTCTTGTGAGCCCATTGTGGGGACTTGAAGAGACGAATGGGAAGCTATGGAAGGTTTTGGCTGGCAAAGCTGGCTACCCCTCACCCTTCACACCAGTTATATCCATTCTGTTAGTGGCCTTTCCCCAGCCCAGTGGGGAGGAGAGGATGGCTGCCCCTGGGGCTCAGAACATGGCCCTTGGCTGCCTCACCCTAGTAAGCCACTGCTGAGGGCAGTCCTGGCAGTCCCCCAGGACTGTGGCTCTGGCTGGTAGGGGGAGGCAGGTGTGTGGCTGATCTTTATTTAATTACAATGTTGAGCCCTGTGGAACACCCCTGCCCACTGGGCAGCTGGGAGAACAACTGTCTGTCACACAGCTAAAGCAGCAGGAATCCTTAGGGGAACACTGCAGAGTAAAAGCCTCAGTGACCCCATAATCAGAGTAATGAAGATAAATCACACCTCAGGCTGCCTGCCCACTCCTTTCTCTGCATCTAGCAGCCAACATCAGGCAACCAGAAGCTCATGTTTAGCCAGCATAAGTAAGGCGTGTTAAAGATCATGAAAACAGGTAGGATTTTTCAGTTACAGGTTTCTAGAATCTCAGTTGGAAAGAACCTTAGTCATCACCTCTTCCAGCTTCTCTATCTAACGCAGGACTTCTCTCAACAATGAGTGTCCTGAACCATTTGCACACCTTTGACAGACAGGCAGCTCGGGTCCTCTTGAGGCAATCAATTCATTTTCAACCAGTCTGTCTTCTGACCTTGTCCTTCTATTGAGTCAAAATCCTTTTTTTTCTGTGGTTTCTCTCTCCTGATTCAAGTTCAGCACCTGGGATCACACAGAACAGATCCTAATGGTCATGGTGACCTTGAACAAGTCACTTTCTCCTGGCCCCATCCTCTCTTTCTGTGGTGGCCCCTAGTACAGTGCTGGAGTTGTTCAGAAGGTGGCCGGCTACTCCACCAACAGCCAGGCTGAGCTCTGGCCTGGCTTCCAGCTGCTGGCGCCCACCCAGGAACCTGCACAGAGGGGCTGCTTGCAGTTGAAAGCAGAACAGAACAGGGCTTCCCCCGTCCCTAATCAGGCCCCAGGGGAGCACCCTGTGTGGATGATGGTGGCTGGATGCCAAATGAAGTGAAATATCTCCTTTTCTCAGGCTGTTAACTTTCTTCTTGTTTAAGGAAGGGGAGGATAATGACATTTAGCACTTCACAACTCAGCGGTGAAATGAGCAGATGGAAGCAGAGCCCCAGCACGGCAGACATGTTTCCAGTGAGAAACCCTCCCCAGCACCAAGGGGCTGGAGTTCCTGTCAAGGCGTATTAATGGGGTTAGGGACACAGCCAGCTGTTTCCTCCCCCAGCTCCTCCCTACAGGCAGCCGCTCCAGGCTGCACATCACATGGGCTCTGCCCAGCCCTCACTTCCTGCTTCCTGCCTTGGCTCCCTCTACTCCACCTGCCTGGAGCGTCTTTCCCGCCACCCAGGTCGGCTTGGAATAGGACGGCTCTGATTTTTTTTTTTTTTATGATTTTATTGGGGAATTGGGGAAGGGAACATTGTGTTTTTCCAGGACCCGTCAGCTCCAAGTCAAGTTGTTGTCCTTCAATCTTAGTTGTGGAGGGTGCAGCTCAGTTCCAAGTCCAGTCGCCACTTTCAATCTAGTTGTGTGTTTTGGGGGGAGGGGAGGGAGAAGGGGCCGCAGCCCACCATCCCATGCAGGAATCAAACCGGCAACCTTGTTGTTAAGAGCATGCACTCCAACCAACTGAGCCATCCAGCCGCCCACCAGCAGCTGAGCAGCAGCTGAGCAGCAGCTCAGCTCAAGTCATTGTCTTCAATCTAGTTGCTGAGGGCGCCACTCACTGGCCCGTGTGGGAATCGAACCAGTGACCCTGTTGCTCAGAGCTTGCGTTCTAACCAACTGTACCACCTGGCCGGCCCCTCTAATTTTGATGAGGAGAGAAGGAGGGGGTATTCTTGGCAAGCAGTGGTGAGCAAAAACAGTGGAGCTGTGGCAAAGCTTCAGCTGGCCTCTAGGTGGCCACAAAAGAACAATTTAAGCAGGGAAATAAAAGAAAACCATGGGCATCATCATCACTATCGCAACTATTTACTGAGAACTTGCCATGGGCCCGTAACTGTGGCATGTATTTCACCCACCTCACCCCCATTTAATCCTCACAAGTCCATGAGCTATAATCAGCATTGTCTCCAATTTACCGATGAGGAAACGGAGTCTTGAAAAGGCTCAATAACTTTCCTAAAGTCCCTCCACACTGCCTTGAACAGCAGGCAGGCAAAAGAGTACTAATGAATGGCTTCTTAACTATTTGGGGTTTAGATGATTACTTTCTCTCCTATCACACATGTTGGTCTATAAACTGAACACTTAAAAAAAAAACTAAATGCATTTTCCATGTTTATGTTTACAAACCGGGCAATAGCTTTTGTTCAATTTTGGCATGTAAATTCTTCCATTAAACTGCAGCTCCTCTGTGAATTTTATTTGTCATCCACAGAGTAAAAGAAACAAACAAAAGTACCTCTATATTTATGGTGGAGATCTATTGTTTCCTCTGCCCAGAGCCCCTCCCTGCTGGGAATAGCACACCTCTTCTTCCTGGGCTAGGAATAGCCCCCTTTCCACTCTGCCAGGCGGTGGAAGGGCTGCCAGTCATAATACCCTGCCCTCTGACCACAAGAGCTGACATATGACTCAAGTTGGGCCAATCAGGGTCCTTTCCAGAGGGTTTTCTAACTGGGTAAAGGGACAGAAAATGCTCTGTCTGCTGCAAGTGCGATTAGCGGAGTCCCAGTTAGGATTAGCCTTAGCGTTGGGCACCAAAGGCCTGAAAACAGTATCTTAAACAAGACGGAAGTTTATCCTGTGAGGCCAGCTCGAGTAGCACTTCAGCACATGCCCATGTCCCTTCGCCCCTCACCTACCAGGTACCCGCTGAAGTCATCCTCCTGCAAGCACCTGCCACTCTCTACCTGACTGGAAGCACTGGATAGTTGACACCCCTGGGAGCAGCCCTCAACTGATGGGGACAGGAAATTGGAGAATACCCAAGCCTCATGGAGAGGGGTGGGGATAGGATAATTCTGAGGCACATTCCTTATTCCTTCTGAGGTCCCATTGGGATTGAGGCCTGTTGCCCATAGGAGTAACCTGCTCAGTCATCGTCACACCCTGTATTCATTCCCACCCTTCCCTCACTCATTTCCCCACTCCCCTAACAGTGATTCCTGAGACCACCTCCCTAATAAACTGCTTGTCTTAGACTGATTCGGGGGCTGCTTCTAGGGAAGCCAACGTTAGACACCCTTGAAGTCCTAATTTATCCAAACAGGAG